CAACACCGTCTTCCCTTACCCCCCCCCCCCCCTCCTCACGCTAGCAGATAGGGAGACAAACTAAGCGCAGAAATAGAAAATAATTGCAGAATAACCTTCGGCCATGTTTCCCCGCGGACCCTCTGCGCCCAAGTTGCAATAGAGAAGCTTCCTCTGCGAAAACGGGCTGCGGTAGTCACCATTAATCCAACATCCTCGATCCCATCGGTCACCAATTTAGCTCGCATGGTACGGCGTGCTTTCTGCCTTTTGATATTTTTGTCATGTCTCTGTGTCTTCCCTTCGATCCCTTCCTCGCTCTCACCACCTCTGTACTGATCTCGCTCTCCCTTCTCTCTCTCTCTCCTTCACTCTCATTCGCTCTCGAGCTGGCTGTGCCCGTTCCCGTAGTGAGAACACGTGACTTTGTCAATTACATGCTTTCTTACTGCTAATTTCTGCCCTGCGATTCCAGGGGAAAGGAGAACGGGACTCGCAACCATCAGGAACATTCACCCTATCAAATATAAACTACATCGACTGTGATACTATGGATCAGTCTTACATAACATACAGTATAATGCAATGTACTGCCTATACTGTGTTTTTGTATTAATAAACAGCCTAGACTACTGCATCACAAGGGGCTGGTGTAATACGGAGTAAAGAGATTAGTTTACATGGAATTGAGTTACATTTAAATTAACTATATGAACTGATTGCGTGTTTTGTAACAGGAAAAAAAAACAAAACCATGAAAAATGAATCAAACAATCAAAAAAGGCAAATCATAGGGAATCTACTGGGCCCATTGTTAGAGGTTTATGCATATACATGTACACTGAGCTATGTGCATCATATTTTGTGCTTCACTGAACTGGAACAAAGATGTGAAAACATAAGGATATTCATCCAGATGTTATGTAGTTAGCTAGTCCGGCTTCCAGCCCACATGGACTCACACTGATGCCAAAAATGCTTCTGCACTGGTGACACATTTGTCAGACATAAACAAAACTTCTTACTCAGTACATTCCACTGCAAACAAAGAGCTTAGTCCTCTGCCACAAAATGTTTACAGCTCTGGTGTTTCTAATGATTTTCCACCCTTGTATGTTCAAGTATCTTCTCACACACTTAGTGCACCAAAATAAAACTTTGGAAGATCTGTCACTTTTTTTTTTTTTTTACATTAGATATAAATTAAATTCACAATGCAAGTAAAACATTTCCTTCTTAAACTCCAGCCTCACACTACATCTATAAAAAAAATCATCCAGCTTTTTAAAGGATGACACATTTCAGCTGAACAAGCCCATCTCTTTGTTACAGATGCAGTCAAACACTCTGACAGACCAGACCTCAATTCCCTTTACTTGAAACCAAGAATAACTTGTAAACTATACCAAATTAAAAAAAAACACAGTGATAGTAATTTTTTTTGTTTGTTTTCCATGCATGGTCATGTTGTTTTTGAGCTCATGTTCTTAACATACGGTACAACCAGCACCTCCCAGCATCATACTGAGCAGCAGAAGAGAAGCTGAACTCACAGCTTTGGAATGTGACTGAAAAACCCAGAAAAACAAACCTGAACAGTGATGTGTTCAAGTCCTATGATCGTTACTTGTTATTAGAAAATCAATCCTCTGACTTTTTGCCTAGTAGCTGCTGCTGATGTTCAAAATGCTAAATTAAATTAAAGGAGAGACCCTGCACACCGAGACAGGCTGTGCTTGTTCCTCTGATGCGTTAAAAGGGAGAACTTGTGAAAAACATTTTTTCCTGTGAGTGTGGACCAGATTGCTTTAAGGTAAGTCTATAAAAATAATAATAAAAAAAAAAAGAATAAAATTGAAGTAGTTATTCTTCACGAGACATAACTTTTGTCAGTTTGATACTTATGACTTCACTGATGTAAAGATGTATGTAAAGTCAGATGGCAACTACTGCTTATTGGGTGTCCACCAGTACGGAAGCACTCTAGAGAAGTCTAACCATGAGCAAGACCACACAGCAGATCAATAACAACAAGCCTGAAAACCAGTACATTCATCGAGAAGCTTCCCATCCCATCTCCCATCTTCCCCAGTGGGACGTTTCTCAGGGGGTTACTCCAGGGTTTAAGGAAAGTGGAAAAACATGTTGGTGAAATGAAACAACAGCCAGCCCTCCACCTCCATCTCCACCCACAAGAGCTACAGAGCCCACCCTCCGGAATTCACGAGTTCTACCCCTACCCCCACTCCATCCACCCCAGCCCCCTCGCTAAGGCCTGTTTTTGAAGATGCGTGCAGAGGAGGCCACCACAGTGGCCACAAGAATGACTGCTTGGGTCACCGGGTTGGATACCGGTGTCAGATGTTATCCACTCACTCACATCCTGACAGGACCCTTCTGATACAGGGCAGCTCACAGACACGACTGCAAGCTAATGAGAAGAAATAATCTAGATATAGGTGGCTGTGGATGTGCCTGAAACAACAGAAATCAGAGATCAAGGGAGGTTTAAAGACACCTGAACTCAAAGCTAACACCTTTTCAAATGTTTAAAACATTTTTCTTCATCTGTGAAATGCAGAAGAAACATCTCAAACTGATGCTAGCTGTATGAAAACAGAACATTTTATGGGAAAACGTCCTATTTTCTTTACATCAATATGGTTTTCTAATCAACACCAACTTGAAGTCACACTATAAGGAATTCATATTAATGACTTATTTAAAAGATAAAATTACTTATTTTACTCCAGTTTCCTTAAAATCACCACCAACCAGTCATTTTATTTGCCTTTATGCTGTTACATACTCATTACAAATTCACAAGCATCTTTTTCTGCTTTTCTTTTTTTGAGGACGTAGCCTATGTGTTGATGAAGTTATTTTGATAACTTCATCCTGACTAACTTTAATAATAATAGTAAATTCTCTTAAGTGGCTATTTTGGGCTAAGTATAAAATACCTTTATGTTTAGTTGTGAATACATTTCTGGTCACATTTGATGTTAGTTTTGCCTGCATGAGAGGCACGTTTGCTATTCATAAAACATTATTTAAAAGACACATTTGGTTTAATGAAAACACCTACATATATAAACTATAACATATATAAGGCTTATTCAGGGATAGAAAGGTAATATTCTACACTTAGTCACTGACTCTGGTGCTTTCACGTTCAGTAGCATCAAACCTGTGTACAGCAGCATCAAGAAGGACCCCGGGCCACCCTGCACGTGGACTTTTTACTTTCCTCCCCTCAAGGAAAAGATAAAATATTAAAATAATGCAGATGATGGTTTGCTTGTAGTCATAGATACTATACCATAGATTTGATTGATAGTGTGATCACATAACAGTCCTGAGTGTAAAACCAACTCCACCTTCACAGGTCTTCACTCTCAGAGCCTGATGCCAAATGAAGTCAGTCTGATCTTTATGTAGTTTGTCATCTTGACCAAAATACATATTTAAAGGCATTTAACCCCAGGAACAAAAGCAGATTCCTGAGCTGTTCCAGTACCAACTTTTCTGAGCAGACTGTAGATGGCCTCACCCCAGCTAACCCCACCCATCCCCCCACTCCTCACCCTATAGGCTCCCAGAGGAAATTTGACTTTACTCTGCATTGCTGTCATTGCAGTTCAAAGGGTTCACTGAGTTCATCTCTCTCTTCTCTTTTCTTTTTTAGTGAGGAGGTTATGTTTACTTCATGCATTCCAGCCACCAATCCTTCACTTTTTATATTCTTAACAGGGAAGTGTAAACAAGAGTTGGCAAAGCAGGTCACCAGCTCTCAGTCATTTATCAGAGACTATATGCATGGACAGATGAAGTGCTTTACGAGTACGAGGTGAGAGTCTCTTAATTAAAAAAATATATTCTTCAAATTCTAACCAGAGGTCAAAATACAGAGTTTTAATTCACAATCTTGGTGCTTCCTGTCTATACATCTGTAAAATAATTTATTTTTTTGCATTTTTATAAGTTCTTCCTTTAACATAGCCACAGATTTCGTTAAGGAATATTTTGAATCAACGAAAAAAAAAATTGCACACAATCTCACAAAAGCACAACAGCATGTGCGTCATACCTGACTCCAAAGTAACCCAAAAGCTTGTAAGGCACTTCCTTCCTTTTCTCGCTCCATTTAACAAAACCAATATTGAATCGTTCATTTAAAAACATACTTAATTCAATATTTGTGTGAGCGCAGTAAATGTTTCTACAAGAACCTTTCAATCCGACACATTTTCAGGAGCATGCGGGCTACAAGCTACATATATACATATCTTTTACCAATTCTTGATTCCAGCAGATGAATTTTCTACTCAGTTTTAAGTGGGTGAGAACCAGAAAAATTGCAAAAAGAACCTCTTGTGGGTACATCTCGACGTCTTGGCTGTTGTTCCGTCCGACAAAGTCTCCTCCATCAGGAGTAAATAGGGTGAAAATATCTGAATGAAATATCGGTGACGTCAGAGAGAGGGGGCGGTTGGAGAAGGAGCGCTGCTGCAGCCGGTGCGCCAAACTCTGCGCACAATGGAACCAAATATCCGCTTACACTCTCCAATTCCTCGCCTTATTTTCCAGGTGGGATTTGGTAGGTCAGCATGCCATCTTCTGCTTCTCCTTGGCTTAATTATACCCTTAAAAAAAAATATAGTTTTCCACCATTTGTTGATGACCAAAGGTAGCCTATGGCTTCTGACCCAATGAAAGACGGATTTCCTTAAAATTAGTTCACGTTCATAACGAGTTTAAGATGAGCGTCTGCGATTTTGCACCGATTGATAACATGATTGGTTTCAGTTTCTTCTTTTTTTAAAATAAATTGCTTATTTAATTTTGATATCTAGCCTGAGTGGCGTTTTCCTAAAGTGTGGGCTTCACTTGGGCATGTGCGCGCATTTTTAACTCCATAACTTTATTGAACGTGTTTGATAAAGGAACCGAACCATGTCATGTTAAAAGCCGGTCATTAAACGCCAGTGAAAAGCAGGTCCTGTAGCGTCACAGAGGTGAGCTCACTGCAACTAAATACCGCTTTGTATTGATATTTAGGCACGTTTAAGTTGAAGAAAATGAAAGTGAAGTGTATTTTTAAAGCGACTCACCTGTTGGAGAGGGAGCCGACATCCTCCTTCTTTCGTGATTGAATTAGATGGCACAACCAGCAGACCCCGGTGTCCCTTTGATAGTCCAAATGTGTAGGAAGGTAGAATTAAGCCTGCTGGACTCCAAGCTTGAGGACGCTCTAGTCTGAATTACATCTTTAGACTGGCTTTAACCTGCATGGCGCATTAAGTTCAGTGACCGACTGGAATCAAAGAGATTTTCCATGGATGAATATTTTATAGTAGCACTGTAACACAAGCTGCAGGAGCGTGAGGGACAGGCAGATTTGTTTAAATGTGTGTCACGGTGAACCAACAGATTGCTGGAGTCGAGTGGCACAGATCTGGAAAATCATCTACAAAATGATCCATTTGGCAAGTCTTTCATTTCAGCTTCCAATATGTCACAAAAGGCATAGGTTTGAGCTCAGATGCCACGTCGCTGCATGTCTTAAACATGTGCAATTTAAAATAAAGCCTTAGTGAGAGCATTCAGCCGCAGAAAAGGCTCGTTTTTCAAGCTTATCCAAAATTCTAGACAATGATGCGCTTTTGGTCAAATTAAACCCCATGCAGTCTCCTGCATGTCTCAGAGCTTAATCATTGCTCTTCAAACCATGCGGCACCCACGGCCTCCCCCATCAAGCTGCCAGCCTTCCCCCACCTCTCTTGATAAAGATTCACAGGCTACTCCACATCCCCCACCCAGGCAGTATTCAACTTTTCAAATCCATGATAAAAAAAAAATAGAGCTCTTCTGCTTTTTTTCCTTGCAAGTTTCGCACAAGCAATTTCCTCCAATCAAAGATGAAGAGTCACACAGAAGGTCTTCGTCCTGTAACTTAATGTTACCCATAAATCATTAACTTCAGCAATTCCAAACCTTCAGAACTGATCTGACATCTGCTCGTCACTCACTCGGTCTTGTGTTCTCATAGAGACGTACCAGTAAACTGGCCCCCGATCAGTGACAAGGAGCTGATACAAAAAAGAAAAGAAACAAAACCCGATATAGCGCCATCCATCGGTTCACAGCAGACAATCACCTGCAACAACTCTGCATCCCACAGTGAGAGAAAAGGGCCTTGATGGTTTATCCTTCACATAACGGTTTTGTTTTGGCTGTGAAATTAGGAAGATATTACCACCCAGATTAGACAGACAGACAGACAGACAGACAGACAAAGTTTTTGCAGGTGAGATTCTTTCTGTCTAGTTAGTTTCTTCTTTGACATAAGAAGACTAGGAACAAGAACATATAGCTCTTTATTCCAGATGCTGTGAGACTCAGTGTTCTATACAAATGGAAGAGGTAAACATTCTTTCTAGGAAATAAAAATAAATTTAAGCACAACAAGCAAAGGTCAGCTGAATAAAATGACCTTCTGTCTTGTGGCTTTAAGTGTGGGCTATATAAGTTAAATACACTTTGAGACTCACTATTTAAACAAAAAGGCTACACCAACATTTAAGCCCATGTAAAATACCTAAAGGCACAGCTACAGCTTCTTTTCAACCAAAACATCACCCTTACATGTCCTAGCTTTCTCTTTCAGTTGTATTAAGACTACTGACACTAAATATTTTTGAATATTTCAATAAAAAGGAGTAAAGAGCTGCTGGCGTAGCACCTGAGGATTTTTCTGTTGCTTCTTAAGAGAAAAAGAAAAGTTTGTTACAATTTAATAATTTTTTTTCTTATTCTGTCAAACATCAGATTTATAATACAGAAAACAAAATAACCTAACCAAGTAAAATTCTAGCTGTTATAGCAATTTTGTAGCAGTTATTTATTTAATTATGACGCTTCCGCCCAGAAATATAGTCCCCCAGCAGTGGCTGAATGGTGATTTCCGGTTGGCGCATTAATATTTCAGTACGGTCACAGGTGTGTGCTCGTTAGGCGTTTTACTCTTAAAACGTGACCGCCAGAATTGGGACCACTACTTAATTTTTCCGAGACAATTTAGGACATAAGGATGTTTCGTGATCCATTTAAAATGTGTAGAGATATTTCCCCCCTCCAAAACGTAAAGGCTTTAATTTAAGAATCTCTCATCATGTGTTACGTAGTATAGGCAGTCTAGTCTATAACATCAGTAGGACATCATGGCGTCCGGGTTGTGTCATCATGCGTCACCAGTTTTGGTCCTGAGAAGATGAAATAAGGTTTGGTTTGTAAAAGTTTATGAGTCGAGCAGGAGGCTACATCACACTGTGCACACATCCGTCTACATGCAGGCCTACACCACATTACAGCAGGTTTTCACAAGGCTGTCTAGCGCCATCTCGTGGTTCATTAGACTCTCTCACACGCGCACAACCATAGGCTACATAAATACTGAACATAGAGGAATCGACCATGTTTGTTCGATTTATTGAGGCTGGCTTTTGCTAATTACCCTTTTCGTTCTTACTTTTCAGTCTGTCACATTTTGTTATTGACTAATTTTGCATATCCTCAGTGTTGTTGGCTGGAAAATAATTTTTAGTAATAAAAATAGTATTTTTTAGTGTGTATGATTTCCCATATGCAAACCCCCTGCAAAGAAAGTTACACTTCTGTTTGCTCCATTTATTGTTTTGTTTTTGCTGCACAGTTGTCACTTTATTAGATACACCTAGAGCCAATAAATATAGTCCAATAAATCAAACCTGCAATAAATTCTCCTTTCATGAAGGAAAAGTTTTTGCTGAAACTGTTTCATCATTTTGGAGGCTGTACTTTGTGTTGTTGAATTGTATTGCATCATACTGACAGGTGTTTTTATTAATTATAAATTATTTAATGTTACATGTGGTGTCAGACAGCATTTTACAAACCTGATTCCAAAAAAGTTGGGACACTGTACAAAATGTGAATAAAAACAGAATGCAATGATGTGGAAGTTTCAAATTTCAATATTTTATTCAGAATACAACATAGATGACACATCAAATGTTCAAACTGAGAAAATGCAT